CTCTAGCCCTGTAACGACATTTAACAAATATCATTATAAAACCCAGTCCAGTCCACAAGCCGACGTCCACACGCCACCCGACAGGGATCCGCAGGGGTGGGCGAGGGACCGTGATGCCTGTGGGCGGGCGGGGCGGTGGGACCGGCAGCAGCTCTACTCTAGTTTCCCTGCGGGGCGGCCCGCTCGGACCGCCCCGGCTCCGCGGGCGCGGGGAAGGGCTCCGCGGGCGCGGGAGCCGCCGGCGCGGCCCAGGGCGACGGCGGGAGGTTTCGGCGCCCCGGAGGAGGGAAGGCGGGCGGGCAGTCCCGGCATGGCCCCGGCCCCCCGCGCCCCTGTCCGCGGGGCGGCGCCGAGCGGGACGCGGGGCGGAGTGCGCCCGGCGGGGCCGGGGCAGCCAGCGGGGCTGGAGCTGGAGCCGAGGTCGGGTCCGGGGCCGCGGCGGCAGCATGGAGCAGGGCGGCCGCCGCCGAGCCTTCGGCAGCATATGCCCCAACAGGGTCCAGTGCCCTCCCGCTCGCCACTCTAAGAAGCCGGCCCGGCCCGGAGGGGGGACGGCGTGGAGCCCCCCGGCTGCCCCGAGCCCCCGAGCGCCCCCGCCCCGTCAGCGCCGCAGCGTTGCCCCGCCGGTCCCCGTCGCACCCGCCCTCGGTGAGTCTGCGGCGGACAGCCCTGACGCCCCAGCCGTGAACCCCTCCCCGTGCCTCCCACCGCGCCACCTTGGTGCCCCTCACCGTGCTGCCCAGCCCTGCAGCCCCCGTCAGTGACACCTCCACCTTGCCCTTCACCATGTCCTTCCTGCCACGTCCCCTCTCCATGACCGCCGCTGTATTCCCCCCTGGTGCATCCCACCACGTTCCCCAGCCCTGCATCCCCTAGCCGTACCCATCGAGGATGGCCCCCAGCATGCGCTCATCACTCAGCCATGCCCCCCTGGCTGTGCCTGCACTACTTACCTCTGTCTCTGACTGTCCCCAGTGCTCAGCACCATCGACTGGCAGGATTTGGCAGCCTGTACCCCCATCCTTCCCACCACCCCAGCTGGCTCAGTGACCCTGCAGCAGGTAAACCCCACTGTTTGAGGCAGGCTTGGCCTCACCTGGCACCTTGAGGGGTGGCCCTTTCAACCCAATGGGTGCTGGCAGCTCCCCTGACCTCAGGTTTCCCACCTGTGGAATGGGCACAGAGGAGAACAGCACCTTGTTCCATGTGTTAGGTGGGTTATTGGCAAGGGCAAAGCAGGAGATGGTGCCAGCACTGAGGGAAAATGCTGAACACAGGCAGCTGCTGAAACAGTATGGGCAGGTCTGAGCCCTGGGCCCTGCTGACTGGATCATTTCCTTCACCCCTCCTAGAGTCCCTGCTTCCAGGATGGAACGGAGTTTGATTTCCAGGAGTTCAGAGATGCCGTGGATGATTTTGTATCTGGCAAGTAGATATTTTTCCTTATCTGAACCAAATGTACCTTTGTGTGCACATCTGTAGTCATGCTACATTCCCTCTCCTCTTTTTCTGCTTTCCTTTTGGAATTTTGGGTGCCAACTCACTGCATGTTTGTTCCACCATGGCACAGTCTGTAAGGCAGTGCATTCCTGCTCACCCCCTTGGAGGGATCTGGGCTGTCACTGGGCTTTCTCCCATGCGAGACAAATCCAAATAGCTGTAGGGGGTGTAGCTGTCACAGTAGAGTAAAAGCATTTGAAGACAGTTGCGACCTGCCTCAGAAAAGGGAGGGTAACTCAAGTTCTTATTAATAAATGCCTTGAGGTGGATTAGGGTGAAATGCCACTGAATAATCAGCATATGTGTAGGGTTTATTTTGGAACAATTTCGTTTCAAAAGGTAAACGAAATTTGCCATTTGGGGGTGTTACCATTCTATAGCAATACAGCAATATTAAAGCATCTATAGCAATAAAGCAACATTAGAGCATAGCAATGACACTATTAAAACATAGTAATATTAAATCATAGCAATATAGCACTATTATGAAAACATAGCAATATTAAGGCATCTACGGCAATATCATCTATAGCAATAGATGCTCTAAATCCTTAGAGCATGAGAATAACACTTAAGGAAATGCATAAGGGAGAGAAAGGAAAAGAAAGGATAAAGGTGGAAATATATATATATATATATATAGTCATGGCCCATGGGATCCAGCAATGAAACTTGGTAGTTGCAGCTTCCAAATCTGTTAGTTGAAGTGATGGTCTCGATCCGTTGGGGCTGGGGGAAGCTCCCCACCAAACTCAAAAATGTTATGAGTTACGCACTTCCAGCTCAGGTCAGACCACCTTGTACCTCCCCCCCCTTTCAGGACTTGCCTCTTCCTAGCCTCTTCTCTTCCTCAGACAGGCATCTGCACCCAGGATAGCTGGACAATGGCATCACTTTTGCAGTATTCAGAGGTGGGGGGTTAGGTCTTTGCTGGGTGAGAAGCTGCTTCTTTTGCTTCAATTTGCAAAGGTCTTTTAGTGATCTTAGAATCAACTGTTTCAGTCTCTGACAAGGACATACTGGAGAGATGTTTAGAAGAAGAATGGTGTGCTGGGGTTGGTGGGAACTGAGGACATGAATGCGGTCTGCATCTTAATAACTGTGGCTGTTCCCTCCAGATGCACCCACCTTAACACCACCACCACTGGACTGCACTGACTTTGATTTCCCTCTTGGTGAGGAGGTGGCCTTTGGGCCCTGCACCCTGCAGCTGGAGAGCAGCGTGCTGGCACAGGTGCCCCCGCAGTGCCTGCCTTCCCCTGAGCTGAGCTGGAGGGACCAGGCAGACCAGCACCAGAAAGCACTGGGAGATGCCATGGAGGCAAACAGCCAGGTAGGGACACCCAAGCCCTCCCTGGCTTGCACTGCTTTTCTCTCCATTGCATCCTGCTGAGGCAACTGCATGGCCCTGGTGTGCAGCAACCCCTGGCCCCTGGGCAGTGGAGCTGTCCCAACCACCCCATCCACATTTGTCCCTCACAGCTGCAGGAGACTCTTATACAGAGGCAGGAGGAGCTGGCAACACTGCGGGAGAGGAACGTGCAGCTGAAGGAGCTGGCGAGTCAGGCCAGGCAGCTGGCCTCTGTCCTTGACGTGAGTGCCACCCCCTCATCTGCTCTGGGTGCCCCAGTGGTCCCTGTGGGACAGTGCGGTGTCAGGGTGCAGTGGGGGACAGGATGTGGGGTGAGGCAGCACAGGGTGAGAGAGAGCCAGCATGGGAGGAGGTATGGGATGGGATAGAATCATAGAATCAGCTGGGTTGGAAGGGACCTCTGAGATCATCAAGTCCAACCCTTGATCCAACACCACCGCGGTTACTAGACCATGGCACTAAGTGCCACATCCAGTCTCATCTTAAAAACCTCCAGGGACAGAGAATCCACCACTTCCCTGGACAGCCCATTCCAATGCCTGATTACCCTCTCTGTAGAGAATTTCTTCCTAATATCCAACCTAACCTTCCCCGACAGACCTTAAGCCCTCTTGTCTTACTAATAGCTGCCTGGGAGAAGAGACCAACCCCCACCTGGCTACAACCTCTTTTCAGGGAGTTGTAGAGAGTGATGAGGTCTCCCCTGAGCCTTCTCTTCTCCAGGCTGAACAACCCCAGCTCCCTCAGCCTCTCCTCATAGGACCTGTGCTCCAGTCCCTTCACCAGCCTTGTTGCTCTTCTCTGGACCTGCTCCAGCACCTCAATATCCTTCCTGAACTGAGGGGCCCAGAACTGGACACAGTACTCCAGGTGTGGCCTCACCAGCGCTGAGTACAGGGCGAGAATCACTTCCCTGGTCCTGCTGGCCACACTGTTCCTGATAGAGGCCAGGATACCATTGGCCTTCTTGGCCACCTGGGCACACTGCTGGCTCATGTTCAGCCTCCTGTCCATCAGCACTCCCAGCTCCCTCTCTGCCTGGCTGCTCTCCAGCCACTCTGTGCCCAGCCTGTAGTGCTGCATGGAGTTGTTGTGGCCAAAGTGCAGGACCCGGCACTTGGCCTTGTTGAACCTCATCCCATTGGAATCAGCCCAACTGCCTTCCAGCTGATCGACACTCCTCCTCAACTTGGTGTCATCTGCAAATTTGCTAATGGTACACTTGATCCCCTCATCTAAATCATCAATGAAGATATTAAACAGAACTGGGCCTAACACTGA